TTATTCTGCCCCATTCTCCCTTTCTTTTGGAGAGAGATTGAAATTATGATTATATTAGTTTCATTTACATATTTTGCACTCAAATCTAATACTTTTTGTTCTGTTTCTTCAGGCTTTTTTAAAAATCTGAATTTAGATTTTTTTCATTAATTTGTCTTTAAGTACATTTATACTTTCTTCTGCTGTGCCTAATCTTCTGTTAATAAGATATTTTCATATTTTAGATCATATACATTTAAAAATTGTTTTTCCCATCTCCTAAAATTTTCCATCAAATTATGCATGATGTCCATCTTTTCCTGCAGACACTTTAGAATTTTTATTATAGTAATTTTATGCTCCCTGTGGTAATTGTAATATCTGGGGTGTCTCTGGGTCTGTATCTATGAATCACTTCGTTTTTAATGTTGGTCACTTTTTCTTGCTTCATCAAATTCATATGTGAATTCTCACGTGTTTGGGAATTTCCTATTTAGTAAAACCTGACATCTGTGCCCTGTAGTGGTTTTGCAGATCTATCTCTGTTTTACAGATGAATCTTTTGATTTCCAAATTTCTGGAGGCCTCATCATCCTGATTTATAAGCTCTGGGGCCACATTTGTTGGTAGCCTAGGAGATTTTTTTGATCTCGAATCTCACCCTTAGTATTTTTCTTTTTTCCTTTTTTTTTTTTTTTTTTTTTGGCTCTTTTTTTTTTTTTTTTTTTTTTTTTTTTTTTTTGGCTCTTTGCTGTAGCTACCCCATAGTCTACATAGGGACATATCATTTAGGAAGGATTTTTCAGCTGCCTAATGTCACCCTAGGCATTATGTGGTTAAAATCAGAAATATCTGTATGGAGATGAAGGGGGCTGAGCTCTCCCACTCCTCCGTCAGTCCTGATAGGTGAAATCCCTGAGTGACTGTATTTTTCTTCCAGTTCCTCTGTGTCTTTCCCATTCTTTCCAAGCTGAAAAGCAGGGTTGCCTGAAAGACTTCTTTCAATTTTCCTATCCCTCCTCAATTTTTTCTGGAAAAAAAAAAAAAAGAAAATGGTGCATCTGAGAGAAATTTCTCTATGCTTTTTCTAATCCCATATTTTTAAACTACCATCCTTGTTACTCAATGAAGGTAATGAGAATGAGATAGGTGTTAATACTGCCTTACTACTGCTATTGGGGCTCTTGTGGATTCTATTTTGTTATATCCACCCAAAAACACATTCTTAAATGTTTGTTAAAATGTAGGTAGGTTTCATTTTTATCCCAAGTTATGTTGAATAGGAAGTGCTAGTTTCCTTTCTGTTGGAAGAAGTAGAGCAGCAGCTATGTATTTCCTCCCTTTTATCAAGGACTGTCACTCCTGGAAGTTAGGTTCTTTACATTTCTTTGTATTTCAAATGTTACAATGTTACTATTTTTAAAAATATGATTTTTAGCTTATCCAGCTTATTTTGTTTGTTTAGAGTGACAATGATGATTTCTTACTACTTTCTATATTTATTCCAGAAATAGCTTTTATAAACATAATAAAACACAATGAAAATATTGCATACATATCTACAGATGTATAATTTCTGTTGTTCTTCATCTATTTATAAAGTTTCAACTTTCTTCCATCACATATAATTTTCTTCAGCCTAAAGACACTATCCTTTACATTTTCATATAAGTGCAGGTTTGCTAGTGAAGAAACTCTGTTTCTCTGTTTTCATATTTTATAAAAGTATAATCCCACCTAGGCTGCTAGATTTTCCTTTTTTTATGAAGCACTTAGAAGATGTCTTTCATTATCTTCCATCTCACTTTATTTACAATGAGAAGTCAGTGAGGAGTCAGCAGTTACTTTTGTTTTGCTTAGCTTACCTTATTGTAATCTGTCTTATATCTATGTCTACATTTAAGATTATTTTTCGTCTGGTTATCTGTAATTTGACAATGATATGTCTTGGTATGATTTCATTGTCTTGTGCTAGGATTTATAGATTGGTATTTTTTATGACATTCAATAAATTATTTGCATTTATTTCTTTAAATATATTTCTGCCTAATAGCATCCTTCTGATATTGCAATTATGTGTGTGTTTGATTTCTTAATACCATTTAACAGGTCACTGGATTTTTGCATACTTTCCTTTCATCACTTTTCATCAGTATTTCAGGATGGTTTGTGCCTATTACCCTGCCTCCACTTACATAGATTACCAGAGCTCTTATTCAATAACTCTCTCTTCTCTGGTACACCGTCTCACAAATTCAAGCCACCTGAGACTCTCTGCTCTTTGTATTTTCAGTTTAACAAGAGTGTTCATATTTTGCCTTGTTTCCCCTTTTTGTGCTGTGATTTGGAAAAAGTTTCTGAGTAATTATAGAATTTATTTTTTAACTCACGATCTCAAGGATCACAGTTCTGTATTTAATCGTTTCCAATATCTAACACTTGTCGTTCTATATATTTTTATAATTTTATTTGTTAATGCTTATTTTAGAAACACTAGTTTAATACAAGTTAGCAATGAACAGAAGAGTCTATCTTTATTTTTTGATAATGATAATTTTTATTAACTAGAACCACATTTCCTATGGCACCCAATAGGTGTTTTGCCGGATACCTATTAACCTCAGTAGGTAAGGATTCAGGTTCAAGAGGCCGAGGCCGAGACCCAGAGCCAGCAAATGAGACATGGGGTTTGATTAGTGGATTACATACAGAGAAGTGTCCAGTGGTGGCAGGCTAGACAACATATCTCCCTTATGTACAGTCCAGTGGCAGCAGGTTGGGCAGGAAAACCACAACTGCTTGCAATTTATATAGCATTTAACACCCTCCCCTTAAGGATCTCCATCTGGCCGCCTCTTTTTAACCCAAAATTCAGTGACCTCAATCCCCTGTACATCCCATGTTCCATTTGACAGGCTGGAGGCTCAAATGTTTCTCCTAGACAAAGAATGGATCTCTGGATTGGCCATTCCTGGATTCCCTAGCTCAGGATACACATTCAGGTGCATGTAATCTGGGGTCATTCTAAGGGTATGTTTAAGTTATTGCTATCAGGGGCTTTTATCCTACAAAAGGCATCAATAATTAAAAGTCATAAAATATACTTTAATTAGAAAACTAGGCATGATATTTCCAGGATGATTTACTATTTCATATTTATATTAAGTTTTAAAGATGTATGATTTTCTTTTCTTTCTTTTTTTTTTTTTTTTGAGACGGAGTCTTGCTCTGTTGCCAGGCTGGAGTACGGTGGCACAGTCTCAGCTCACTGCAATCTCTGCCTCTTGGGTTCAAGTGATTCTTCCGCCTCAACCTATGGAGTAGCTGGGACTACAGGAGCATGCCAAATGCCTGGCTAATTTTTGTGTTTTTAGTAGAGATGGGATTTCACCATGTTGGCCAAAATGGTCTCAATCTCTTGACCTCGTGATCCACCCACCTCGGCCTCCCAAAGTGCTGAAAGATGTATGATTTTCTACAGCTATTTTCTCTCATGGTTTTAAAACTTCATGTCATGGGCTGAATAAGGTAGTTCATGCCTTTAATAGTTGAGCTCAGGAGCTTGAGCCCTGTCTCCAAAAAAACAAAAACACACATAGCCAAGGGTGGTGGCACTTATCAGTAGTCCCAGCTCCTAAGAAGGCTGAGGTGGAAGGATCACTTGAGCTGGGAGATCAAGGCTGCAGTAAGCCATGATTGCACCATTGCACTCCAGCCTCCAGCTTGGGTGACAGTGTAAAAGTTTGTCTCAAAAAAAAAAAAAAAGAAAGAAAGAAAAAGAAAAGAAAAGAAAATTTGATGCAATGCATGAGAACTTTTAATCACATGTATGCTATTATTTTTATTTTTGAAGATTGATTTAAATACAAAAAAAACTGAAGATCAAACAGAAAAATGAAAATTGTCGAAATGTTAATTTGTTAAATTTGGATACATGTAAACTTATTGAGATTTTAAAAGAAGGATAACAATATGATACCTTTAAGAACATACTGTTAAGTGAAAGCACTGGTGGCTGCTTTTCAGAGCGTATCTTTAAAAATCCATGTTTATAACTAATGAAGTATTTTAATATTTCGGAAACTTGGAGCTATTGTGGAAAACTTTCAACCTTGTTATATTTGAGAATACAATTTTTGTATTTCCAGTTAAGATGTGATGGTGGGCTGGGCACAGTGGCTCACGCCTCTAATCCCAGCAATTTGGGAGGCTGAGGCAGGTGGATCACCTGAGGTCAGGAGTTTGAAACCAGCCTGGCCAATATAATAAATCCTGTCTCCACTAAAAGTACAAAAATTAGCTGGGCTTGGTGGTGGGTGCCTGTAATCCCAGGTACTCAAAGAGACTGAATGATAATCGCTTGAACCCGAAAGGCAGAGGTTTCAGCGAGCCAAGATCACTCCAGCCTGGGCATCAAAGCAAGACTCGTCTCACAATAAAAAATTTAAAAAAAAAATGTGAAGATTGATCTATGCCAAGACAGTTTGTAAAGATGAAAAAAAAAAATTAAACCAGAATTTGTTATCTTCAAAGGTCATTCTGGAAGCTAACAAATATTGTCCTTTATTGTTTCCTTTTAGGCTACTGAATTGACCTGCTTTCAAATCTTTAAATATATTCTAATTTTAAAAATATCTTTATGTAAAAAAAATGTCCTTTAGAGTCTAGGGGATGTTTTCCTGAATTCCCAGGCCTACAATCTGAGCTGGATATCTCTTTAGTTCACCCATGGAGTACCCTGGACAAACTTCAAAAATGGCCCTCAATTTGCAGAATTATAATAATCTTTTGACTTTTTTGTTTTCCCACTTGATTCTAAATCCCATGAAACTATCAATGCTATATTATTCATCCCTAGTGTCTATTATAGACTCTACCACAGAATAAATATTAATACTTGTTAAGTAAACAAGTGAAATTATTTCTTGTTCTAGATTGCATAAAAATATTATTCTAGTGGAAATATGAATATGAATTAAATCATTGGATGCTAACATTCTACTTTGTGTCTTCTGTTACAGGCTCTTAAATCTGATCTACAATGGAAAAAATTCTTTTTTATCTGTTTTTCATTGGCATAGCAGTGAAAGCTCAGATCTGTCCAAAGCGTTGTGTCTGTCAGATTTTGTCTCCTAATCTTGCAACCCTTTGTGCCAAGAAAGGGCTTTTATTTGTTCCACCAAACATTGACAGAAGAACTGTGGAACTTCGGTTGGCAGACAATTTTGTTACAAATATTAAAAGGAAAGATTTTGCCAATATGACCAGCTTGGTGGACCTGACTCTATCCAGGAATACAATAAGTTTTATTACACCTCATGCTTTCGCTGACCTACGAAATTTGAGGGCTTTGCATTTGAATAGCAACAGATTGACTAAAATTACAAATGATATGTTCAGTGGTCTTTCCAATCTTCATCATTTGATATTAAACAACAATCAGCTGACTTTAATTTCCTCTACAGCATTTGATGATGTCTTCGCCCTTGAGGAGCTGGATCTGTCCTATAATAATCTAGAAACCATTCCTTGGGATGCTGTTGAGAAGATGGTTAGCTTGCATACCCTCAGTTTGGATCACAATATGATTGATAACATTCCTAAGGGGACCTTCTCCCATTTGCACAAGATGACTCGGTTAGATGTGACATCAAATAAATTGCAGAAGCTACCACCTGACCCTCTCTTCCAGCGAGCTCAGGTACTAGCAACCTCAGGAATCATAAGCCCATCTACTTTTGCATTAAGTTTTGGTGGAAACCCTTTGCATTGCAATTGTGAATTGTTGTGGTTGAGGCGTCTGTCCAGAGAAGATGACTTAGAAACTTGTGCTTCTCCTCCACTTTTAACTGGCCGCTACTTTTGGTCAATTCCTGAAGAAGAGTTTTTGTGTGAGCCTCCTCTCATTACTCGTCATACACATGAGATGAGAGTCCTGGAGGGACAAAGGGCAACACTGAGGTGCAAAGCCAGGGGAGACCCTGAGCCTGCAATTCACTGGATTTCTCCTGAAGGGAAGCTTATTTCAAATGCAACAAGATCTCTGGTATATGATAACGGAACACTTGATATTCTTATAACAACTGTAAAGGATACAGGTGCTTTTACCTGCATTGCTTCCAATCCTGCTGGGGAAGCAACACAAATAGTGGATCTTCATATAATTAAGCTCCCTCACTTACTAAACAGTACAAACCATATCCATGAGCCTGATCCTGGTTCTTCAGATATCTCAACTTCTACCAAGTCAGGGTCTAATACGAGCAGTAGTAATGGTGATACAAAATTGAGTCAAGATAAAATTGTGGTGGCAGAAGCTACATCATCAACAGCACTACTTAAATTTAATTTTCAAAGAAATATCCCTGGAATACGTATGTTTCAAATCCAGTACAATGGTACTTATGATGACACCCTTGTTTACAGGTAAGAAAAATTAAGCAAATTTGTATATTTGCCATGCCTCTTAGTGTAGAACTTGTTAATGTACTACTGATTTTTGTTTAATTGGCAGTGCTCTTCTGTGTTGTAATTTCATATTTTAAAGTGCATAGTGTAAGCCTTGAAAAAGGTGGTAATACAGGTGGGGAGATATTTTGAATGGTATTAATTTTAGAGAGTTCTAATTTATATTTAATATTATGCTCACTTACTTTTTTTCCCCCTCATCTAAGAGATGTGACTATCAGAGAACAAGACTGATTTATTATAAAAATTCAAAAACATACCAGAACTTACACATCCACATGAGTGTTCTTTCCTTCAAGGAAGTCACGTTGGGAGGCTATACCATTATCCCAATGATGCTGCCATTGCTCAAAGCACTTTTGGAATTATCTTTAGAACCTTCGTCATACTATTTTGAATATCCTCAGTGGTGGCAAATCTTCGTCTTTTGAGGGTGAATTTGAATTTTGGAAACAAGCAAAAGCCATTTGGAGTCAAGTCTTGTCAATAAGGTGGGTGATCAAGATGGGTATTGCCATTTTTGGTCAAAAATAGGATGTAACTATAAAATAATGAGACTGATTTTGAGTGATTAAGGGGTGTGTGTGTGTGTGTGTGTGTGTGGTCATGTTGTCTCATGTGTACTGGTTCTTAAGACAGTTCCAAAAAGAAACCTTATAAATAATTTGAGCAGCGAAAGTATCACTGGAATTAGGTATGTAACCTCCAAGTAAGGATGATGATGGAGAATTTGCACCTGCTAAAGAATTTCTGGTATGTTTTTCTAAAGTTCAGCCTCATTGATTTATAGTCACATCTTGTCCAATTTTCAGTTAAAAATACACATTTTTACCCTTTCTTATAATTCCACTGTGAGAGACTGTTATTACCCCCTGGGAAATGATGCAAAACCATGGCTTTGAAATATATATATTTTCTGTTTAAGATAGTCAGAAATCAGACCAGCTCAGTTCCTATGTTCCCAGGTGAATTATTCAATATAATTTTATTTTCATTCCTGTATGGAAATGAGAGTAATTAAGAAAAATGCATAGACTAGTAGGCAAAATTAAACCTATCCTAGCTAGTCATGTGACCTGTCCTGGGGCGGATTCTACCTGGCTGAGTTTCAATTCCTCATTATTACAAGGAAGAAATTAGACTAAAGTTCTCTAATACCCTTCCATCACTAAATATATGGTAATGTGGACTATGCTACATGTATATTAACCTAAAGTAATTTTCTCTTGTCATATCAGGCTCTTCACATAACCCATGGGCTATTGTAAAGGACAAATACCCCTCCTCACCCCTCACTTTTCTGTAGCTATTGGATATTCTATATATTTTAAACATTAGCTCTGTGAAGTAAGCCAGGTTTTATTTTCCAAATTCCAGAATTTTAAGCCTGCTATGACAAGTAAAATTCTGTGTAACCTTGAAGAAATTACTTGAATTCCTGACCCTAACTTTTTGTCATTTGTAAAATAGTGATAATGCTTGTCTCATAAGATAATTGTAAAGATTAAATTTTAATGTAAAAAATGCTTAGTAATGCCTGTTATTTATTTTTAAGTTAGGTCATATTCGGTTGCAACTGAAGAAACAGTGGAAAACAGACATCAACAAGAAACTTTTAGAATGTAGTTGATTCAGAGATGTCTATAAACTCTTTTTTAAAATTAATTAATTAGTTTATTTATTTATTTCGAGACACAGTCTCGCTCTGTCACCCAGGTTGGAATGCAATGGCACCATCTTGGCTCACTGCAACCTCTTTTTCCTGGGTTCAAACAATTCTCCTGTCTCAGCCTCCTGAGTAGCTGATACTACAGATATCTGCCACCACTCCCGGCTAATTTTTATATTTTTGGTAAAGACAGGGTTTCACTAAATTGGTCAGACTGGCCTCAAACTCCTGACCTCTGGTGATCCACTAGCCTCGGCCTCCCAAAGTGCTGGGATTACAGGTGTGAGCCACTGCGCCTCGCCTAAACTCTTATACTTTATTAAATGTTCTCTGGTGGAAATTTGCAGTAGCATACTGTGGGATGAGGGATTTATGCTCTGGCCAACAGCCTTGCTTGTTCATGTTTCTAGGATAATATTACTTACATATTTTCATTATGCCCATTTATAGATTAAAACATAATGGGGTCCAAGTGATGATGGCACTAAAAAAGAGTTAGATTTGTAAAGAAAATACTTTCATCTTAGTATATTCTTTCTTTGTTATTAAATATATACGTACTGGGGACCCTTTCATTTTACTGGTTTGGAAAATAAATGCTATGAAATGCATTTCTATTCTGATTTCTAATGCGATTGTCAACATTTACCCTTCCTTCAAATTGGCTTTTAGTCATAGAGGTGTTCTAAGTGTTAAATGGATTTATTTAGTAGTCAGATAATGTCATAGTCACACCTTTCAAAAGTAATTTGTCATAAATGATTTTTTAGCAGTGTTTTCTATTAGGAGTCCTCCTTTGCCAAGCAACATAATTAATAAGCTTGTGAAGGCCTGGTCCGGGCAACATTAATGTAATGCAGACCCTGACAGTGACTTTTAGCCATTTTAACTGGGTAAATATGAGATTAGATACTTTTCCAATATTTCATATGTTATAAATATGCTTATCTTAATGAATACTAAAATGACACCAAACTAAGGTCATAATGACTTTGTGTGTATATGTTTTGTTTTGTTTTTAATATTAACACAAATTCCATTGTCCCTCAGAATGATACCTCCTACGAGCAAAACTTTTCTGGTCAATAATCTGGCTGCCGGAACTATGTATGACTTATGTGTCTTGGCCATATATGATGATGGCATCACTTCTCTCACTGCCACAAGAGTCGTGGGTTGCATCCAGTTTACTACGGAACAGGATTATGTGCGTTGCCATTTCATGCAGTCCCAATTTTTGGGAGGCACCATGATTATTATTATTGGTGGAATAATTGTAGCATCTGTGCTGGTATTCATCATCATTCTGATGATCCGGTATAAGGTTTGCAACAATAATGGGCAACACAAGGTCACCAAGGTTAGCAATGTTTATTCTCAAACTAACGGGGCTCAGATACAAGGCTGCAGTGTGACGCTGCCCCAGTCTGTGTCCAAACAAGCTGTCGGACACGAAGAGAATGCCCAGTGTTGTAAAGCTGCCACTGACAATGTGATTCAATCTTCAGAAACTTGTTCGAGTCAGGACTCCTCTACCACTACCTCTGCTTTGCCTCCTTCCTGGACTTCAAGCACTTCTGTGTCCCAAAAGCAGAAAAGAAAGACTGGCCCAAAGCCAAGTACCGAACCACAGAATGAAGTTGGCACAAATGTTGAGTCCCAAAACACTAACAGGAACAACTCAACTGCCTTGCAGTTAGCTAGCCGACCTCCCGATTCTGTCAGAGAGGGGCCCACATCTAAAAGAGCACATACAAAGCCAAGTAAGTTTCTCACTTTGCCTGCTGAGAGATCCAGAGCAAGGCACGAGTACTCCCTCAATGGAGAATTAAAGGAATACTATTGCTATATTAACTCACCGAACACATGTGGACTGTTTTCTAAAAGAAGCATGTCTATGAATGGGATGTTTATTCAGTCTGACTGTTCTGATGGTCATAGTGGAAAAGCAACTCTCAAATTCTGAGGGGCTACTGGAAAGCTCTGTGTCATTTATTATTTCTTTTTCATGAAAAATCATTTTGAGAACTCACATAGAAAATTGGAATTTACAATTCCAATGCTGTCTATAAATAAACCTTCTCAGGTACAGTATATATACATACATATATAACTGTATATATGTATGTATGTATATGTATACCGGAAGGAAACATAAATAAAGTGGATGAGGGAAAAAGCATGACATAGCAGCAGTGCCTTTCCCTATTCTAGGACTAGCAACAGCAGATTAAAAAATAAAAATTGTTATAGAAAAAGCAAGCATTGCATAAAATGATATGTTCTCCAAATTTACTATGCGCCACCTATGGATAATTGATATTTTTTAATAAGTAGGCTGTATATTTTCTTTCAATGATAATAGTGTTGCCTTTATTTTTAGGGAAATGTTGTAGAACAACTTCATGTTGCTAAATTATTTAAAATAAAATATTCAATTAGTATACCGAGATAATGTTAAAATAAATTCCCTTCTAAACAGCATCCTTGGTTCAGGTGCCTTAATGGTTCTAAGATATTTCTCCTCCATGACACAGCTTTTTCAGTGAAAAATTATACTTTTTCAGGAGAAAAAAGTACAATTTATTTTGGATTCATCAACACTCTAATAATACGAAGGTGTTTTCATTCATTTAATACACATTTTCTGAATGAGTGAGTTTTATATTGTTCTTAATGCAAGATAAGAGGGAGACAAACATAGAAGACTGCCTTTATCAAAGGAGTGTTTATTTTTATCAGCAAGTAAAATTTAAAAGCTTCTAATGGTGTTTTCATTATATTTATAAGTCATTGTTCATTAAGCAGATAGTGGTGTTTTCCCTTCTGCACTATAGTTTTGCATTTGAATGTTTTTCTTTTAAAGTAAATGCATTTGCTATTTTAAACAAAAACTGTGATAAATTCAACTAGAAATCATGCCAATTAGTGGGAATACATCATTTTTTAAAACAATATTTTAAATATAGTAGAAACTAATATTGTTCCTGGATAAGGTGGAATTCTTGGAAATTTACTGAAATCAAGGTCTATAGATAAATGTTTCTATTCATTCCTTGAAAAACTTAATTATATGCTAACTTAATGGTGTTTTATTAAAGATCTGTAAACAGGGTTAACATCAAAAAGGTTTCATTTTATTTTGTTTTGAGAATAAGTCTCATGTGAGAACTTAGACCAATTCCTTTCCACAAAATAAATGACATTTTAGCTGTAATATCATAAGATAAGTACTTTACTATCTTATATTAAGTACTCCTTGGGAGAAGTTAAGCACACAGTAAAAGTTTATTAACTTTTTCAGATCACTTGAAATACCACTTAAGACACAAGTGAGGAATGTTGGATTGTTAATTTCCTTCTGTTAGAAGCATTTACAACAATTTCAGTTACTTTTAACTTGACAGAGCCACATCTCCTCATACGCAGTGTATCATGATGGTATTCAATAGCATGTAACATTAAAGCAGTTAGAGATTACTTTCAGTGCCAGCGTTGAAAATAATTATCCAGTGGGCTTTTATTTATTTAGGTGTTTGCTAAATCCCTTCTCTGTCCTGCTTCTGTTTCTAAAATGTTTGCCTTTCACATTTGCAAGGTGTGATCACCTTTCACTGCTCAGTTATGTATTTCTTTTAAGGAATAGATGAGATCACATGTGGTAATAGTTTGTGAAATCAAAAGCAGCACTCAGAGTGAAATATGTTTTCAGCACCATTAATGTAGTAATGCTGTAATTCCAACTAAATATTTTTAATTAACATCAATTGCAAAAATTCATATTTTTAATGAACATCAATTACACAATTCAACACAAAAGTGTTGATTCGTAGAAGCTAACTAAATTTACCCTTCTTAGATTTATCAGCCTAGTATTAAAAAATATTGAACATACAAATGCTTTTAAGACTTAAATGAATCCCCAAAGAATTTCTGGAATTATGAAGGTTGTGATCAAAGATAAGGATGCTCTGAAATCAGGCAACATTAGCAAGGTTAACATATGTACTCTAAGTTACTGATGAGCTTACTTTGTATTTTCCAGTATTTTTAAAAGAAAATTTCCTACTTATGTTTCTAATGAAACTTTGATTAAATATCTTATATTTCTCATAGACATTTAAAACTACATGATATTTAACCATATGAGATTTATTTTGACTAACACCATTGAAAATAATTTAATGTTATTTAATATATTTTTAGTATGACCATTTTTACAATATTTAAACCAAATGCTTGAATACTTGTTCTTAAAAAATAATGGAAAGGAGAATATGTGGCCTTAGATTTTGCCCTTCAAAAAGTCTATATTTTGAGAGAATAACAAAAGTCTGGATTATCAAGAGGGTCACTTTTTTTATTTGTTTATAAACATATAAAGACATTTTTGCTTAAAGTAATTGCACCGTGAAGTGATTGAAAAGTAAGTCGATGGAAAAGTTGGGAATAATATTATCTATCATGATATCTGAAACACAATTGTTGCTTAGATGAATAAATGAGTAAATAAATAGATAAATAAATATGGATGGGGGAAAGGTGTGGAAATAAGAATTTTCATTAATTAGATTTGTGATCTAAATATTATATTACCATAAGCAACAAATTCCCTGTCCTTTTCCTATTTTCCTTTCTGTCATTTATTATTGTATTCCTCGTTTAGCCAGTCATCTGTATAAAGCATGTGGTTTGCTGTTTGTTGTGTCTGGCCATGTTATGTTTTTTCATTTTTGTATTTTACATTCTAGTTTCAGCTTGTTCAATGTGAGAAACAAACACATTACTGTGTTTGCCATTATGCATATTTTAAATGACTTTTACTTCAAATATTTTTAATTGCATTCCTGCATTATTTTTGTTCCTTTTGAATAATTATCCCTCAATGGAAAATACAAAACTATTATTACAGAATTGTCATAAAGGGATAATGAAGCATCTAAAGCAGCCTAAAACTTTTAAGAAGCAGTATATTTTAGTTTGAAGGATATTATTTATTTTAGTCTAAAAATATATAAATACATAAGTAAATAAAGTACAATTTAAAGAAGAAACAGTGACGGGGTACAATGGCTCACACCTGTAATCCCAGCATTTTCAGAGCCCAAGAGGAGCAGATCATTTGAGGTCAGGATTTCAAGACCAGTCTGGCCAACATGGTGAAACCCTGTCACTAGTAAAAACACAAAAAAATTAGCTAGGCACATGGTGGTGGGAGTCTGTAGTCCCAGCTACTCGGGAGGCTGAGGTAGGAGAATTGCTTGAGCCCAGGAGGCAAAGGTTGTAGTGAGTCAAGATCCCCCCCAATGCATTTCAGTCTGGGCGACAGAGCGAGACTCCATCTCCAAAGAGAGGAAGAAGAAAAAAAGTAAATAAATGAATAAATAAATTAGACACAGTAACACCTGAACTGTGGCCAACTTATTTCCTTTTTTTTTTTTTTCTAACCATGACAGGAGTCAGTGGAGGTCTCAGTAAGTTGTTTCATGCTTTCAAACAGTGATTTTTACCTGCTTTGTAGATATATTTTACTTAAAATTTTGGAATGTAAGTTTTGAACCATTCTAAGAAATCTCTAAATGTAGCAAGTGTAATCTTTGAAAGATGCATACTTTCTCCACAAACTTGTAAAGAATTCAAAAACATAAATGTGTTCCATTTGTCTCCAGAAATATTTTTTTTTGTTTTATAAAGTACTTTTTCTTCTATTAAAAGTACTTGCATTCATATGAATTTTACTATTTTATTTGCTTATAGTTTTGAAAAGAAACTATATCATTCATAAAGCTAAAATTTTTAGAAGTTTAGTTCCTAAATTTAAGTTTTTCTATTTTGTTATAGTAATAAATTTAAGGATTTTTTTAATTCCAGGAGTTTTAAAAAATCCTTAAATATAAAGGATCATCTTGTAGGTACAATTGTGAACCTATGAGACATTTCTTAAGAAGATAGCAAACACAAGCCATTGTCTTCTCAGCATAGTTGATTTCCAATTGCATTTTATAATGCTGAGAAAACACTGTTCATTTTTGTTAGATAGAATGAAGACTATCTACTGTCTTTCCCTTGCTCAGCCTTCCCCTGTTTCAAGAACAGTCCAGTGGTTTTATTTTAACAATGTATGCTTCTGTGTGAATATGAAGTGTTTTGAGGAAAGGGCTTCTGCATGGCGGTGGATTGTGTATGGAAAGGACATTTTTCTTATCATCTTATGTTGCCAATAATAACACTTTACCTTAGAATGTTAGCGACATTTGATGAAATTTATAGATAAGAAATGTATCATTTTAAAAATGGCATTAAGAAAAGAATAAATGATCAAAATCAATATTTGAATTTTTACTTTCAAAGGACAGGTTACTCAGTCTTTTTCTTCCCATGCTAGATAAATACACAATGGGATTATGAATGAAATTAGTTTGCTCATATCTTTCTTATTTATTCATTTATTATTATGTTTTCCCACAGAAACAATCAATTCTTGTAGCAGTATACAGAAGCCCACTTAAAATATAAAAAGAGTGGTAAACATATTGTGATTGAGCCATCCTAAAAATGTGGTGCTATCTGAAGTGGGATATAGAAAGTAACAATTTATAACAAGGAATATATTTAAGTAGTAAATTACCTCATTAAGGTAATGGTAATGCATTGGGAAATTCATCAAATTACACATGGAGTCAATATAACAATGTAATCACTGATTACTTTGGTAAATGTAACGGTATACTTAAAGTGATTGTCTTCTGATTATGTTCAGCTCTTTCAAAGTCAAAATTTGGGGTTTAAAGTTAACATTGAATAAATATATACATCACATATATTTGTATAAATATATATGTGCTCCACAAATATCTGGCTGTATATATACTACATAGACATATAAATATCTCTACTCATAATATTAATCAGCTAAAATCATAATTTTATGTCCTGCAATATAAATTAAATTGCAATTACATGAAAAAAACATATATTTGAATGGGCTGGCTATCAGAGAACTTCTCCCAGAAAAACTGTAAAAATTATACCTGTTACTTATTAGATAACAATAGAATATAAAGTACAAATTTAATTTTATGCATTTTTAATGATAACCACCTCTATAACCTAATTTCATCCATTTCAAACTTGGTGACTGTTATGTTCATGAAGTCTAAAAACAAAATATTTTCAAATTCATTCAGGAAAAAGCCATGCTGGCCCCTTCATTTAAAGTATTTGTGTTTGGAAGTGATTGTACATTTAATTTTAACTGACACATAGGCTATGTACATATTATGTTCTACTATAGAATATGTCTAATAAATAATTATTTGAGTAAACTCAGGAGCTTATGAAATATACTATGTTGGCTGTTGGCTCTACCATAATACAATTGTGTAATCATTTTTTCATCTACAATGTGAACATGTCCTATTATTGCTTTTATGTAAAATCTAATCTCCAATGGCCATTGTATATTTACATGAATATCTATGCTGAAGGTTTTGTAAAAAACAATTTGTCTCAGTCTCGTGACACTCACCTGTGAAACCTAAGAAGGACTTAATATTTGCTCCTAGTTTTCTCTCATGTGTCAATTCTCAATGATTAGAAGATTTGCTTGAGAAGAAGACATTTTGGAAAGAAAAAGAATGTGTGCTGCATAGGTTTATGTAATGGTATTAAACATTTATAGGCAATTGAAACCTACATATAAATATTTAAAGGAAGAACGTTTGTATTTAGAATGTTAGTGTCTTACACAAGGATGAACAGGTACTTGTTAAAACATGAGCTATTATTTGGGGAGTGGGTGCTGAATGATGGTTAATATTATAAATGATTATTTTATACTATATATGGTGAACATAGTTAAACTATATTTTCTGCTTTGAATTCTTTTTCCTTGATGATTTTTGGATATTAATCATATGAATCTATATAGCTGAAATGCCAACTGTGAATAGCAAAAATGAACAAAAATTTGATTATCTTATTGAACAATGTCAGGAAAAGCAAATCCATATTGAAAATCACTCATTTTAGTTATTAAAGTAACATTTTTGAAAATTCAATTTTTAAGCATTAGGAATAAGAAAGTAGTGATAGAGAACTGAAATATTATAAAAGTCAATTGCAATTAACCCATAAACTGGTAAGTTTTTTTAAAAAAAACTTTAGATGAATCTTTGTTAATTCTTGGTATAAAGTCTTACCAAGATTTCAGTAAGAAGTTTTTTGAATCTATTTCTTTAAAATATGAATTGTTTATGATACTGAACATTTTATTCCCAGATGCTTTGCTGACTAATGTTGACCAGATTGCCCAGGAAACACAGGTGAGATTCTTATTACCTGTAACATGCTTCAACACTTAAGTGGGTATACACTTTTCATAAGTTAATTTTAAGTAATTGGTTTGTTAATTTGTGTAGCTTGTTGAAATTTTCTTTTAGAATTTACTTACAGTGTTCAACAGTGCAGACTGAAGTTTAGTTTGGTTAAGTGAATTTACAGTTTCTAAATTCAGAGATATTTTGGGTTGACTAAACATCTCTGATTTGTCCTCTAAGAAATAAAGTAAATACTAATAATGCATACAACTTTGGAGTTACTCTTGTAGTCATACGTGATGTAATATGCAGTTCTACAAATATTTCCAAATGTGAGGACAGTACCTTGATAAGAATGTGTTTACTCCTATCCATGACCTCCATACCCTAATAAGAGCTGAGATGACACATGCCTCATTAAAAAAAGATGAACAGAAATGTTTCAATGTTATCTAAAATGAAAGAAGCCTCTTTAAAATGGAGCAAAAGACTACATATGAAATATTCATGGTATTCCTTTGTCAGCAACCAATTATTCTTCGAGTGTTTTTTTTTTTTTTTTTTTGATGTTTGAAATGAGTATTTGATTCTTGAATTTTAATTGGACTGGAGAGTGTGTTTCCAGAGCAGAGCAGCACTTTAGCAATCTGTTCAAACAGCTGGAAGCATCAGCCATTTGCTTGAGGTTTGGCATACACACACACAAAATCTGCTTTTAACAGATCTAAAAAAGGTCATTGATTTATTTGCTGGTAGTAAAAATAGGGTCTTGGTTTTTAACATTTTATATTTAAAAGAAAAATAACTTTGTCAATTTTCAGGGTCTTCCCTAATGAATTCCATCCACAAATCAAAATGTTTTCATGCATCATTTCTTTACTGAATTTAGAATTCCATTCTTATTTTGCAAAAAAGAGCAGATGGCTCATTGGAAACAATCAATAGCACAATGTCTGGCACATGTTTTGTGTTCTGTTGCGTGCAGTGAATTGACCTGCATGAAGGTGTCTTGTTACTCCATCACCCCTTTTGTTCAGTCTCAATTTTAACCTCTCTTCTCATTTTTCTTTCCCCCCTCTCTACCCATCACTTTCTGTTCCTCTTTCTCTCACTATCTTTCATTTTTAAAGTTCATTTATCATTTAACTTTAATAAATCATATGCAACCAACCTGAAATTTAAGATACCCTGAGATAAGGATTAGAAGAAGGTGATTAATCTATAAGAAACACAAGCCAAAATGGTACTAAATGTTGTATCAAAATTTGGAAGCAGGTGCGTAAATGTCTAAGTAATTTTTCAATTATCAATTTAAAGAATTTCCTAAAAATTCACATTTGAAAGGGCATATTGTATATAATTATGCTTATTTTTTTATTTTTCTGTATTATTAGAAATGGAATTTGGAGATAACTAATTTCTTTGGAAGTCTTTGTACCACTAGATATAGCACAAAATTTGCCAATGAGATACATACATACATAAGGCTTTTAATAATGACTATCTTAAAGTGATTAGTATTACAAAAAGTTAAGAAAATATCCTTAAAAATAATGGCTGTCATAATATTATAGAAAACTTCCCTTCCTACTTAGGCTAACTTGTTCCTCCTTCTATGAATATTAGCAAGTAAAACAAATCCAAAGGCAAATAATAGTTTTAAGGATACATCCTTCACTTATTTACCAGCTCCTTGCTAACTTTCCATTATTAGATTTAAGTTACTCTATGACCCCAAGGTAACTATTGTTGATCCTTGGTAAATGATTTGTGCTACAGCAGGCCTGTGTGTACCATTGTGAGCAGATCAAACAGTAATGCCTCTACTGATGACAGTGTGTGACCTGTGTGTTTTTAGCTATCTCATTGCCTTTCACATTGTCACTGTGAATGAAATGAGGTGGAGAGCAGGCAGAGACCTTTTGTGATTGCAAATTTTTAGTTCTGGGTTTTCTGTAGCCAATCATACTGAGGTATCTGTTCAGATGAATTTTTTTCTAAGCATAGAGAATTAAAACACTTATTTCATTTCCACTATTCATAACATGCCCCCTGCCAATTTTCTTTTTTAGAAGCCTTTTGGAATGTGTATAGAAGTAGAGTGACCTTGAAATGTAATATAATTCTTTTATAATATAATCATAAAATTTTAATTACACTAAAATGAAATGAGAGCAAAGGGGAAAGGAATTATTGATAAAATTAATGCTGATGACTCTACGTGGAAATTGGCATTAACATATAAATTTTCGTTGTGCTTGGCCAATATTTTTATCTTTACAATGAACACAGTAAAACATTAGTTATGCTGTTTGGTAGTTAAGTTAGAAATAGTTGGGTAGTTTGCATTTATAATGAAAATGCCTTAAATAAAATTTCTTAAGAAGTATTTGCTGTATTGTGACCAATAAAACATGTATGCTTGTGTGTGTGTGTGTGTGTGTGTGTGTGTGTGTGTGTGTGTGTGTGAAGCTTTGCATAAGAGCTATAGCTTATTCTCTGATTGCTTGCACAGGCCTTTAAGATAATCACTTCCTGCTTTTAATAAATTTGACTTGTGATTATTCCATACTTACTATCAAGCAATAATGTAAACTTTGCCATAAAATCTGTTACAGATGAGTACAGTTTTTTAGATAATTAATATATAAATTGATAAAAAGCTAATGTTGATTATAAATACATAACAACATTGTTAAAAATATGGAAAAACACAGGGTTAGAAAAATACATAAAATAAGAGCCAAAGAGAAAGCAAATTTTATGTATGATGTAAATATGCTTTCAATATGTTTCCAGGTGAGAGTCATCAATGAAAAATATTTGCTTCTGCAGGAGGAGGTTTCTATGATTCTTTGCAAGTAATTTTTTAAAATAAGAGTTAGAGAATAAACACATATTTAGGAAACATTTGGCAATTTTTATAGTGAAGCATGCTTTTAACACATATATTTGAACATTAAATCAAATTTTTTAAAAAAGGGGGAGAAACTTCGAGTCAGCAATGATGTTTAGAAATCATCTCCTTGTTTAGTAATCCTATCTATAAAACATCAAAATCTCTCACAGTTCTTAATTACATTCAGAATAAGGGTAGTAATAAATGTTTTCTCACATCGATTCATTTTTTTCTTCTCTTAATGTTCTGATAGCTTACATTTCCTATTCATTTTTTAGTATTGTTAATAAGACTATCCACAGTTTTTTGCATCATATCACTCACTGTTAAATTAGGACAATAGCAAAAACATCCTAAACCTACTAAAACTTGATTATTTTTAGATTTTATAACATTTTCACCACATTTAGTCTGAATTATTTTTATTGTTTAATACTCTTGTAATTTTTTGTTTTATGTTTAGATATTTATAGAATTGCTATAGGAGCTGCCTACTGATGAGTAAATTAAAAAGTGTTATTTTGGATATTCTATCAATACCAGTTTTTATTTGGCTCCAAATTGTTTAATAATTGTAATATTGTTACATCTTCAAGGCACACAAACTTCATAGTTCACAAAATTTTTGCTGTTTCCTAATATTCAAAATTAGTAGCATTTATATTTCACAGTTTGTTAATATTATTTAATGTGAAATTTAAGTAAATCTTTAAGATATATGAGCTTATAAAATTATTAACTTGATACTAAATTAAAGTTTGCTATCCTGGAAATATTTATTACTTAAAAACTTTATTTTGTCCACTGTCACTTTCCTTCTAGGAATATTGCAACTTTTACTATGTTATTCCTTTTTCTAACTTGACATTTGGTATAGTACCATAACATCATTTTATATCAAAGGGAGTACATCAATATAAAAAGGAAAAACTGTTGATATCCAATTTTACCAGTATGAGCTGTGCTATTATCCAAATAACGAATAATTTAGTAATATATACCATTACATTTTACAGTGACTTTGCAATGTTTTTCTTAGTATATTCCAGGTGATGTATGATAATGATATCTATATTTCAGTAGCTTTCATCAAGGTAATTCTTTTTTATTACAAGTACGATATACACTGGTCCCTTAACAATCTTCACATATATGCTGCCTTTCTTGTTAGCTTTCCAAAATTATTTTTGCTAAAATCAATTTCACTATTCAGGTTATCAATTATTTTGAAATATTTTCTTAAATAAAATATCTTTACAGTATTTTACCTACCTTCACATAAAGTTACCAAAATAACCTTTAATATGCTTTAATAACTTTATCACATAAATTTATCTAAAGATATTCTACATCAGCATTTTAATATAGAATATTTAATAAACTCATCTCTATTTCATGATGCATTTGTGCCATGCATTTTATAATCCCCAAATAGAAAGTTGTAAACATGAAGTTGACTTTGAATGGAAAAGAGAAAAAAAGTTGTGCTCGTGTATATGAAAGCATATGTTTCTCAAAAAATTATTTTCCATTTTCATAAGGAGCAGACTTCATTAGACATATTTTAAATCCATGAAGACTGAGAACACAGAGGAAAAGTATTTTCACATTTGTATGTTTAATATTTTTGTAAAATAATTTTTATGTTACTCTCTTTCAAAATCATATTTAATTCAACTAGGGAGTGCCTTTAAGAGTTGTTGTGAGTTTTCCATTTATTTTGTTTTGTGGGTGAAAAACTTAGTTAAGACGAATAATTTACTACCATTAAATATATAATCAAATATTTGTAAAGTTTTAATATGATACACATTTTCTAGCAGAATAATTTTTAAAATTTAGGTTTTAGAAGTGTTGAACAAATTTGACCTAATATATTTGCATTTTAAAAACCAGTATAAATGTTCGTTAAAATTTGAGTAGCATGCATTAATAACTGCAATTACTATTTATTATTTATTTATCTTACCTTGAAATTATATATGTGAAAAACAAAGTGAGAGAAAATGCCATTTTACAATGTGGCTTTGACTTTACATAATCATCTAGGCTTCACAAACTTAGATTGTAAAAAAAGATACTTTTACATAGTCGCTGATTTGAAGTTACCAAGCAACATTTTATATGTTTATATGCATGTTTAGATAGTTTTCATGGGTATGGGTTGCATTTCACAGCAATAAACTCCTGCCTGGGTGCTTACAGTTCAGTAACTTTTAGATTGGTAGCACAATGATCTTATTAGCTATGCATTTTCTTTCTCTTTTTTTTTTTTTCCTTTTCCTTTTTCTTTTATTTCAGAGGCTGGAGTTAATCTGAAGAGCACGACTTCTCCCCTCCCTACTGAAAATAATTGCCACTGATATTTTTACTGGATAAAATTCAAAAATGTTTCAATTCACAAAGGCTAATTGTTGAACTGGTGTCGTAGAAGAAATTGTCTACAGGAGCCGAGGTGAAAGTCTCTGATACTGGCGGAACTGGCTCCATCAGACCATGGTTCATCCTCTTTCAAAACCAAATTTTTTTCTTCTGGCCTACAAGTATTTTTTATTTTTAAGAAAGAGAAAATGCCTACATTGACATCAAGTTCTGTATCAATCCATCTTACATTGCCATTCATGATTTAACAGACTGTAGAATCTTGAATAATCTATATCACTTTAACAAATAAATGTTTTACTATGACAGAATTTGCACATTGCCTGATTTGTGAAAGCACACATTCCTTAAAGTGTGAGTGGTGAAATAATTATTGCAAGAACTAATAATACTGTTTAAATGTAGGCAGTGCAAAAACCTTAAGAGATTACAAGCAGAGCAGTATAGCTATTTAAGTAAATTTATACTAATTTTATGCCTCATTGTAGGACAGAAAATGATAAAGGCTCTCTTCTCCTAGTAAAACTTCCAAAATAATCAAGATAGGAATATTACAATTAATCCAAATTGATATGTTGCTTTTCTAGAGAGCCAGTTCAAAAGAGGTTTTAATAATTACAAGCCGTATGTTTCATCATAAGTGCATACTTCTCTACTTTTGCACAAGTTCTGGGTAAGAACAAAGAATATGCATCTGACTTAATACCAGCACATATAGAAGTGGGTTATTTTTGATGGCTAATATAGGGGAATGCAGTCATATTTAAGCAATATCCAAGCTAATCATTTAAGAGCTGCTCCTGGTGTGAAGCAGGCCTGAGCTGTGGGAATTTGGCTAGTTACTCATGCACAGTGATCTTCCATGTTGTCGTAGAATAGATATTTGCATAAAATTTGAAAGCATGTACATTTATCACAATACATGGCAAAGCAATAAGTTACAAAAAATTTTCATGGTAGCCTTATTACTCCCAATTGAATTCAGATTCTCTATTATAGATTATATCTCTATTCCTTGGTAATTCTGATAGTTATCATTGAGACCATTATGTGGTTTTTTTAAGTTCAAAACAAAAAAGCTAGAAAACTGTTTGCCTTTTAAGAAATGCAGGTTAATCTGTTAATTATTCCAGATTTGGAATATTACAAATATCCCCTCATCCAATGAGTATTTTCAGGATGTTAGCTATTAGAGAATACTTGGAAGCTGTGCTCAGGACAATGGACAAAATTTGTTTGCATGCACACACACATATACACACACACTATCTGACACACACAATGCGAGACTGAAACAGAAGTTAAAAGTTTGAATTGAATTTTTGTAGTTACATTTTGTAGTCGTGACATTGGGCAATTTACCTAATTCTCTGTTTCTTGACAACTCTAATACCCTGGAACAATTTTGCTCATGGGTGTGTGTGCATATGCATACATAAATGTGTATGATAATTAAAATGATACAGAATGAACATTAAGCATTGCCTCTGCAAATCCTTTTCTCTTGTATACAACTTTTCTCCTAATACACATGTGTAAAGAAAGAGTCAGGAACAGGAATGGCTTTCCTGGATCTCAGCTCAAAGTGATGTTTTCAGTTCTTTTGTTTCCTCAAGGACATTTTCCTGTTTATTCTTACATTCCTCCCACTCCTTTGGGGCTGATTCTTTGCTTTCTTGATGGTGATAATAACACAGTGTTGTGCATAGCCTGTACTTTCATCTACTTCTTCATTCATTTAGGATATTTATGCTATTGTTTTCCAAGGAACAGATTGTTAGTGACTTAGAACAAAAGTTAATCACTTCAAGTCTTTACCCTGCTTCCCCTACTCCTAAATCCCAAACTTCCATTTATGCATACATTCAATCAAAAATTACTCAGAGACACATAATGTACATACTTCCTTTCTTTAATGTTGTTTATGAGGAACATTAGGCACAGACTCTGATTCTCAAGGTACGCAAGAATCAATTGTTTTTATGGAATGAATGGACATAGATTGTAAACCATTTATATCATTCCTTTTACTCTACATTCCTGGGCAATTTTGGAAGTAATCAAGCTGCTAAAATATGTAAGTATAAATACATACAGCTTATGGTATGTCTAATGCAAAGCATATTGTAAAACACGCACAAGAATTTCAAATAAAAGTGTTTTGAATGCAATAGAGGTATAGCTTAGGAGGTGTGAAAGTAGACTGAAAAGTATAAGTTCCTCTTTTGAAAATCTAAAATAGTGATTTTTAAAATTTGGAGTAATTTGTAGAACTAAAAGGTGGTAATAAAGAACTTATATTAAAAGGAATAACACACATGAAAATAAAACTAAATAACTTTTATTTTTTTATGTGTAATTTTGTAGCTCGGCAACTAGGTGTTTTACAAGTTTTAACTGACAGTGAAGTCACAAAATATCCCTTTTTATATATATGAAATGTTTTAAGACACTTTTTAAAATTTTTTTCTAAAATATACTCATAAACTCAGGTTATTTCTTCACTCTGTTGTACTTGTTCCAGAAAGTTATTCAAGTTTTATTTATTAATATTTCCAAAATATATTCATACAGACATTTTATAGATCTAATAATTTATTATTGTGTGCACATGAGTGTATTGAGATATATGAATCTATTTTAAAATGCAAATGAGCTACACATTTTTGTGTACGAGAGTAAAAGTAAAAGTATAGTACCAATAAAAGTCCCCAGCACCTGATTGTTTTATTTAATACAAAATTACAATATATAGGGAGGCTATCTACACTAATTTTTTAAAAGAAGATTTTACTGTGGAAAATATATAACATAAAATTTGACATTTTAACCGTTTTAAGTGTATAAGCCAATAGTGTTAATTACATTCACAATGTTGTGCAATCATCACCCTCTATTTTAAATATTTCTTAAAAACCACTTAAATATTTCTGTATGACCCAAATACAAACTCTGTACCCATTTAGCAAATAATACTCATTCCTTCTCTCTCCCAGTCTTTAATAAACTCTGATCTACTTTTTTTTTCTCTGATATGCCTATTCTAGATATTTCGTGTAAGTTGATTCATACAATATTTGCCATCTCATATCTAATTTATTCCACTTCTTGTAATATTTCCAAGGCTCACCCATGTTGAAGTATGCCTCAGATCTTCACCTCCCCTTATGATGTAATAATATTTTATGTATTATATTTTGTTTCTCCATTCATCTTTTGTTGAATAGTTTTGTTGTTTCCACCTTTGGCAACTGCAAATAACGCTGCAATGCTGCATTGAACGTCAGTGTACAGGTACCTATTTAAGTTTGTTTCTTTTCAATTCTTCTGGTTATATATCTAGCAGTGGAATTGCTAGGTCAAATGATGAGTTTAATTTTTAGTTTTTTGTTAAGTTGTTTTGAGGAAGTGTCAATGTATTTTATACCATAGCTATACCATTTTAGATCTATTCCACTAATTTGTGAGAGTGTTAGGGTTTCAGTTTCTCTAAATTTTTAATTTTTTATTGTGTTTTGTTTTGATTTGCATTTTCTTAATACTGAATTATATTTAGCATTATTTTATGTGCTTATTGATCATTTGTATATATTCTTTTGAGAAATGTCTACTCAACATTTTCCCATTTTAAAATTGTGTTGACTTTTGGTTGTTATTTATATATTCAGGATATGAGTCCTTTATCAGATATATGATTAGCAAATACTTTTCCCATTTTGTATATTGTCTTACATACTTAATAATATACTTTAATGAATTTTTTTAATTTTTATGAGTCTGATTGTATTTTTTTCTTTTGTTTCTATACTTTTGGTGTCACATTTAAGAACCTATTTCCCAATTCAAAGTCATGAAGATTTACCCCTGTGTTTTCCTCTAAGGGTTGTACAGGATACATGCATAAGCCAATGGTGATCACATTTAGGTGATCAATTAGTTTTGAGTTAATTTTTGTAAATAGTGTGAGGTAGAGGTCCAACTTTATTTTTTAAATGTGAAAATTCAGTTGTCCCAGCACTGTCTGTTGAAGATATTGTTATTTTATCATTTAATTTGACAGTCCTAACAAAAATTAATTGGTCAACAATGTAAGAGTTGTTTCTTGGATCTCTATTGCATTCCATTGGAATGTATTATGGTGTTTTGAATATTATAGCATTGTAAGCCTTAAAATCAGGAATTGTGAGTCCACTAACTTCATTCTCTTTCAAGATTGTTTTGTCTAGTCAAGAACCCTGACACTTTCATATTCATTTGAAGTTTAGCTTTTTCATTTTGGCAATGAATCTGTTGGAATTTTTATAGAGACTATTGAATCTGTACATTGCTTTGGGTAGTATTAACATGTCAATATTAAAACTTCCAATCCATGAATGTTGGATGTCTTTCCATTTATTTGTGTCATTATAATTTTTTAACAAGGTTTTGCTGCTATTTAGAAACACATTCAGCCATGTTCTGGGGTACAAGATCACATGTAAAATCATGTGGTCTTGTACCCCGGAACATGGCTGAATAAGTTGAATAGCTCTAGCAGCTTTCTTGTCAATTCTTGGGGAATTTCGTTATGTCATCTGCAAATAGAGATAGTTTGCTTTTTCTTTTCCAATTTGGATGCCTTTTATTTCCTTTTCTTGTCTAATTTCTCTGGCTAGAAGTCCAGTAGAATATTAAACAGCAGTGGTGAAAATTGATATCTCTTTGTCTTGCTATTAATATTAAACAAAAGCTTTCATATTCATGATGAATATGATGTAAACTGTAGGTTTTTCATAAATGATCTTTGCCATGTTAAGGAAGTTCCCTTTTGCTGTGGTTTTCTAGTGTTTTCATCATGAAGGATTGTTGGATTTTATGAAATGACTTTTTGGCATTGAGATTATCATATGTGCTTTGTCTTCCTTTATTATATTGTGTTGTATTGTATTCATTGATTTTAGATGGTTTTTGATCTGTAATTACCATAGCATTCTTGGGATGAATCCTACTTGGTCATTGTATATTATCCTTTCACTATACTGTTGCAATTCTTTTGCTACTATTATGTTGTGGATTTGTATATATATATATATATATATATATATATATATATATATATATAGCTTTTTCATATATATGTATATATATGGCTATCACAGATACACATGCATGCACACACACACACACATACATAGTATATGTATAAAAAAGGTATTAAAAAAAAAAAGGCATTGGTGCAGTTTTATTTTCTTGTGATGTATTTATCTAGCTTTGATATCAGGACAATTTTGGCCCCGTAGAATGGGTTTAGAACTGTTTCCTCTCTTCTGTT